AAAAAAAAAAAAAAAGGACTCCTAATCAAATCAGCTCCCCGTAGCAGCAACCAAACGTCGACCACCCGCCCCATAGTGAGAGATTGAATAAGTATATCTTGGAATATTATGCACGAACATGACAATGAGAAGCTAGATCAATAGAAAACGCATGCTCATAGAAAAGGAGATTATCTAAACGAGATCCGGAACATTATATCAAACATGAACTTGACAATGAGAGGCTAGACTAGTGGAAGGTACATGCACAAAGAGAAGAGACTAACTAAGTACAGTCCGGAACATCACATCACACTCGAACGTGACAATGAGAGATTGGACTAGTGGAAGCACATGCACAAAGAGAAGAGATCAACTAGGTAAATATCCGGAACATGAACTTGACAACGAGAGGCTAGAGTAGTGGAAGGTACATGCACAAAGAGAACGGACTAACTAAGTAAAGATCCGGAATATGAACTTGACAATGAGAGACTAGACTAGTGGAAAGCACATGCACAAAGAGTAGAGATCAACTAAGCAAAGATTCAAAATTTCACATCAAACATAAACTTGACAATGAGAGGCTAGACTAGTGGAAGCACATGCACAAAGGAGAGAGTTCAACCAAGCGAAGATCCGGAACATGAACTTGACAATGAAAGGCTAAACTAGTGAAAGGCACATGCACAAAGAGAAAAGACTAACTAAGTAAAGATCCGGAACATGAACTTGACAATGAGAGACTAGACTAGTGGAGAACACATGCACAAGGATAATAGATCAACAAAGTAAGGGTCCGGAATTTCACATCAAACATAAACTTGACAATGAGAGGCTAGACTAGTGGAAGCACATGTACAAAGGAGAGAGTTCAACCAAGCGACGATCCGGAACATGAACTTGACAATGAAAGACTAGACTAGTGGAAAGTACATGCACAAAGAGAAGGGACCAGCTAAGAAAAGATCCGGAACATGAACTTGGTAATGAGAGACTAGACTAGTGGAAAGCACATGCTCAAGGAGAAAAGATCAAAGTAAGGGTCCGGAATATGAACTTGACAATGAGAGACTAGACTAGTGGAGAGCACATGCACAAGGAGAAGAGATCAACAAAGTAAAGATCCGGAACATCACATCCAACATGAGCTTGACAATGAGAGACTAGACTAGTGGAGAGCACACGCATAAGGAGAAGAGATCAACAAAGTAAAGGTCCGGAATTTCACATCAAACATAAACTTGACAATGAGAGGCTAGACTAGTGGAAGCACATGCACAAAAGATAAGAGATTAACTAAGTAAAGATCCGGAGCATCACATCCAACATGAACTTGACAAAGAGAGACTAGACTAGTGAAAAGCACATGCACAAAGAGAAGAGACTTAACTAAGTAAAGATCCGGAATACGAACTTGAGAAGGAGAGGCTAGACTAGCGGAAAGTACATGCACAAGGAGAAGAGATCAACAAAGTAAAGATCTGGACCATGAACTTGACAATGAAAGACTAGACTAGTGGAGAGTACATGCACAACAAGGAGAGATCATCTAAGTAAGATTCGGAACATGAACTTGACAATGAAAGACTAGACTAGTGGAAAGTACATGCACAAAGAGAAGGGACCAGCTAAGTAAAGATCCGAACATGAACTTGGTGATGAGAGACTAGACCAATGGAAAGCACATGCATAAGGAGAAGAGATCAACAAAGTAAGGGTCCGGAATATGAACTTGACAATGAGAGGCTAGACTAGTGGAAGCGCATGCACAAAAGAGAAGAGACTAGACTAGTGGAAGCGCATGCACAAAAGAGAAGAGACTAGACTAGTGGAAGCGCATGCACAAAAGAGAAGAGATTAACTAAGTAAAGATCCGGAACATCACATCCAACATGAACTTGACAAAGAGAGACTAGACTAGTGAAAAACACATGCACCAAGAGAAGAGATTAACTAAGTAAAAATCCGGAATACGAACTTGACAAGGAGAGGCTAGACTAGTGGAAAGTACATGCACAAGGAGAAGAGATCAACAAAGTAAAGATCCGAACCATGAACTTGACAATGAGAGACTAGACTAGTGGAGAGTACATGCACAACAACGAGAGATCATCTAAGTAAGATTCGGAACATCACAATAAGCATGACAATGAGATGCTAGAGCTAATGAAAAGCACATGCATATAGAAGAGAGATCATCTAAGTAAGATCCGGAACATCATAATGCATATGAATATGGTAATGAGAAGCTAGAACTAGAGGAGAAGCACATGCATATAGAAGGAAGATCAACCGGAACATCATACCAAGTATGAACAAGGCAAAGAGATGCTAGACTAATGAAAAACACATGTACATGAAGGGAAAGATCATCCGGAACATCACACCAAGTATGAACAAGGCAAAGAGATGTTAGAACTAGATGGAAAGCACATGCACATAGAGGTAAGATCATCCGGAACATTACACCAGGTATGAACGAGACAAAGAGATGCTAGACTAATGAAAAACACATGTACATGAAGGGAAGATCAACCGGAACATTACACCAAGTATGAACAAGACAAGGAGTGGTTAGACTAATGAAAAGCACATGCATATGAAGGGAAGTTCATCCGGAACATCACACCAGGTATGAACAAGACAAAAAGATGCTAGAACTTAGATGGAAAGCACATGCACATAGAGGGAAGATCATCCGGAACACCTCACCAAGTAGGAACATGACAATGAGTGGCTAGACTAATGAAGCACATGCATATGAAGGGAAAAATCATCCGGAACATCACACCAAGTATAAACAAGACAAAGAGATGCTAGACTAATGAAAAGCATATGTACATGAAGGGAAAGATCATCCGAAACATCACACCAAGTATGAACAAGACAAAGAGATGTTAGAACTAGATGGAAATCACATGCACATAGGGGGAAGATCATCCAGAATATTACACTAAGTAGGAACATGACAAAGAGATGTTAAAACTAGATGGAAATCACATGCACATAGGGGGAAGATCATCCGGAACATTACACCAAGTAGAAACATGACAATGAGTGGCTAGACTAACGAAAAGCACATGCACATGAAGGGAAAGATCATCCGGAACACCACATGCTATTACGTGAGTGAAAACGAGAGTCTAAGTAGGCAAGATCACCAAAGTTGAATCAAAGGTCATCTTTGAAAGTAGCGGTGTACTTCCCTCTAGTGTATGAGTGAGAATTACAGGATTGGAGAGCTCATGTCACCATGATTGTATCATGGATCAATCATGGGTGTAGTGCTATACCACCTACTAGTGTGAGTGTGAAAATCACAAGTTTGATGAGCCCAAATTACCAAGATTGCATCAAGAAGCATCCATGGGTGCAGCGCTATACTACCTACTAGTGTGAGTGTGAAAATCACAAGTTTGAAGCCCCCAAATCACCAAGATTGCATCAAGAAGCATCCATGTGTGAAGCGCTACACTACCTACTAGTGTGAGTGTGAAAATCACAAGTTTTGAGAACCTAAATCATCAAGATTGCATCAAGAAGCATCCATGTGTGAAGCGCTACACTACCTACTAGTGTGAGTGTGAAAATCACAAGTTTGGAGAGCCCCAATCACCAAGATTGCTTCAAGAAGCATCCATGTGTGAAGCGCTACACTACCTACTAGTGTGAGTGTGAAAAACACAAGTTTGGAGAGCCCAAATCACCAAGATTGCA